AATCAACTTTAATTAATTCTTAACGAATAGCTTCATCTTACAAAGTGAAGGAAAAATTATGTATTAAAATATAGTTACATTATATTACACTACTATTTAGTTAAATATATGAGCTACTTATAATATAGTTAATAACGCACTTTCTAACATATTATTTTTTTAAAAAAATATTATTTTTAACTTACTCTCTCCTATTAGTTAAAATAATGAAAATATATGAATCACCAGTATAGGACTCGTTAAATAAAGAATGAAATCCGCACAAATTTGTATCACTAATAATATTATTATTATTTAAAAAAATATGTTCGGGGTATGTTAGCATTTCTTCTCATTTAAACAGTAGAGCTTAATTAATATTAAACTTTGTGCAAGCAAACAAACTTGATCAAACATTTAATGAACTATCTCAAATGATTTGCAAGCAATTTAAGTCATTTTCCACCTATGGTCTTAAAAGAGATTCAAATCTCATTAATTATACTACATCTATACCATTTTGTAAAAAAGAAAACCTACGATTTCATAAATAAAAATTAGTAATTTGGAGTTCCATAATGTGATTAATTAGTATAATCAATTTTATTTTTATTTGTACTAAAGATATCTTTCAATCAATAGTTAGAAATTAATTCATTTTTGAGGTCTAAATATTATTAAAGTAAATTTATTTCTTCCAACAAAGTATACCTTACGCATGTCCTAAATCAAAACCCTAATAACATTATACATAGTGTATGTTTTAAATAACTGTAAAATGAGTTTTTATTTTATTTTACATCAACTGTAAAATGAATTTTTAATAATCAATAATTTGAAATAAGATTTATATTTACTTATGTTATAAAATTAAGTGATCATATCATAATATGTATCGTTTAGATCATCAAAGAAAAGTGGCTTTTACGATAAAATTACAAAATATATGATGTTTACATTTTTGTAACGGTTGGTTTTGTAGTTAAGAATATCCATCTATAAATAGACAAACAAAGTTAACTAGAAAATAAGTCATTAACTTTTAATTATAAACTTCAGAATTTTGCATATATATATCACCTTTATTAAGGTTATAATTAAGGGCATATATTTAGAATTTTAAAAGACTTTATTTTTATTAAAATGTTTTGGGATGATGAATTAAGACTTTTTTTAATATAAAAAGTCTCATAATATTTAATCAAGACAATTAACAGTAAATGAATATAGTTTATTAAATATATTTAAAAATAATATTAGTAAATTTTTTCCATCAATTATATATAACTTTGAAAATAAATCATTTTTAAACACACTATAAAAAAAATTGTCATATAGTATTGATATAATATTTATTACTAAAAATTACTTTTACATACATCATATATATAATATATATTGATATATTATTTAAAATATAGGTATAAATTATAATGACACACAATATATGATATTAAATTTTATTTAAAATTAACACTAAAATTTTGTATAATTATATGTTAAATAAATTTATATATACATGTATTATATTTGTAATAATATTTTTTATATCACTGTATATAACATTTATGCAAGAGATTTTCGTAATATAATAATATTAAATCACCAAGTATAGAACTCAAGGTTCAACTTTGATCGGTCCAAGTGGTAAGCCTTTCTTCTAATTATGGATGGCTGATATACAAATTACTAATTGTACTATACACAAGGGGTAAAAGGGGAATCGCGATAAGGACGTTGCTTAGTTGGTTATTCTAAAATTTAGAAATTAATAAATATAATTTTTCACCACTTATTCCTTATGATCCGCGTTTGACCTAAAATCAGAATGATCTATTTTAGTTGTATTGCTTTCACATTTGTGAAGACTTTTAAAACTTTAATATTGTAAAGAATTACAAGAAATATTTGTGATCGACAGTGTCTTGGTACAATTAATTCATTAAAGGTGACATGCAGCACTATGATACATTAGTATATATACTTTTCCCACTCATTTTTTATACCAAAAATTTCTTTTAATTAATAGTAGAGATTAATTCCTTATACGACGTATAAATCACCAAATTTTGATTTTGTCTTTTTCAACAAAAAATTTACACAATCATGCTTAATAAAAAACCAAGATATCCTCTAATCTTCTGAGTTTTGCTAGAAACAACAGAAACTGTTGACATAAATCCACCCATGCATTGATACATTTCGGTGTAGCAGGAAAATAAAAAAATTCTCAGCAAAGTTAAGTTTTCTTCACACTCCGTTTGGTAGAAGAAAAAAAAATAAGATGGGGATTGACAGAAAGAAATAGAGAAAAATTATGGTGGAATGTTTAGTTTGAAAGATTAGTGGTTAAAGATAATAAGACTATTATTCCTAACATGTATCAAAAGTATCATTGTATAAAAAACTCGATTATAGAAAAGAGGGTGAAAATCGATTAAAAAGATGAAATTTGATTATTAAAAAACCAAAAAAAATCAACCATATTATTAATTTATTATTAGATGGGCTAAAAATCGATTATATATATATATAAAGGGACAAAAAACAATTATCATGGGTTAGCTAGCTAGGAGGCAGGCACAATATCAAAGGTCAATTTTGACATCCATGCTATACTTTAGTACTTCTCACATTTAACTACTATTTTTGTTAAGAGCAGCATTTTTTTTTATGCAGATACATGTAATTTTAATATGTTTCCTTCACAATGATTCATCTTTATTAAATAATTTCAATTCTAAACATTTTTTTTCTTCTCTCCTCTCAATTTTCAATTTTTCATGTTATTTCTCTTCTATACTTAGCATATTTAGATACAATTTATTTTTTCCATGCATGAACATAATTTATACAATGTGTTAAAATTGATAATCAAAGATTAATTTATACTTATAAAACATGACTTTCATTAATTAAATATTATTTTAACATAAACCATCATCAAATATAAGAATATTAGGTTGATCATGTGTCTCAAGATACACCTTTCATCTGACTTATAAAAGACTTTAAATACAATTTAAAAAGACTTTTAATTTTTTTTTACCAAAAATTAAAAAAAAAACATTAATCCTTCTAAGCATGAACTCAAACATGTTCTTATTCTTTTGTATTGCAATTAGTTCTTATTCTTTTGTCTGTAATTAGCAGCTTCCGACTTATGATCAATCCTCGAATTATTTGAAACATGTGTTTCAATTTCGGTTCTAATGCAAGGCGCCATAAATGATGCCGCAAGATACGTAAATTTTACCTTATTATTTTTTAATTTTCTTTCAATTGTCTTTTTATAAACATTTATTTTAATTTTATAATTTTAATAAGTTTTCCTTTAATAGTTAATTAATGTATGATTTTAGAATCATTTGAAAAAATACAATAGAATATAAGAAATATAATAAAAAAATAATTAATAATGTTTATGAACATTAAAAATATTAATTATATTTTTTAATTTCTTATAATACAACTTTAACCGATAAATAAAAAAAATAAAATTGAAAGAGTGAATAATAATACCTAATGAGGCAAATGATTAAGGAAATAGATTCCTTTAAGCCTTGTCAATTTCTGGTATGCCACCTACATGGGTTTTATTTATTCCTCCCACTGTTTTCAAAACAGGATAGATGATATATAACTCTCAAGGTCAAATATAAGGTCACCATCAATGGTTTTACAGAGGAAATTGATAGCCCAAAATGTTATTGGAAAAGCTAAAATGAAAAAAAAAATAGAATTTAAACCATAGAAGTTATTCGTATAGCAATATAATAGTTGGGTTTGCAAGACTCATTCCTTCAACAAGCCACTTGATCAAAAATTTAAATTTTCTCTTTTATTACGTATTAGTAACTATAATATTAATTTGGTCATCTGTAATCAAACATGAGTAAATATATTAAAAAGCCGCAATAATAAGTAATGTGTATTAATTATATTTAGTTTCTACTCATACGATATAACGTACTTTTTCTTTTTTCTATGCAAGGTATCTACACAATCAACATATTGTTTGTTTGAGTGAAATTAGATTCATTCTTTTAAGTAAGATTAAGCAAGTTGAGTCTTGCAAATAGGAGAGATCCATTATAAATAATTAGTTAGATTCTTTAATAGATATTAGTCATCAATAAATCTATATTTCACATTAATAATAAGATTATAAAAAAAGTGTATATATATCCTTTTTCAAGAATACTAATAATTTGTTCTTGAATATATAATACTTTCTTTTTCCTAATTCACGCCATTAAAAAAGTTATTTATTTTTTTATTTATAAGAATTATAATGAAAATAATAAAATTTGAACCTAAAATGCTGTATATATTATCTCAGACCTTCTTTAATTAATTTATAATGCTAAGAAAGTTAATTAGTTTAGTTAATAATATTAATATTTTTAATAATTAGTATTATCTTTTTTAAAATTATCATTAAAATTAATTGTCTCACTTTTTCTTCCACCTAATTAATTTATATGTTCTACTTATTTCCTCCAATCCTTATAAGAAATATAACATATTTATTTTTATTAATTTGTAATATTTATTATTAATAAATATTTTTTATTAAAAATAATTAACACATAAGACTATTTGAAAAGAATCTTATAAAAGAAGACAAACAAATATTTTTTAAAAGTCTCATATATAGAAACAAATTAAATGTTTAATAACACACTTTTTAATTTCATTAAAATTTATTAAAAATTATGATAATCATTAAAATAAAAAGTCTCATTAAATAAAATGTAAAATCCATTCGAAAATTAGATTTCCTACAATTTTTAGTAAATAAACAAAGTTTAAAATTGTGTGTTTGCTAAATGGTACCTAGGATTTGTCGTCTTTTCCATAAAATAAAACTATTAACTATTGATGGAATCATGGAAGTGGATGCTAAAATGTCTAATAAAGTATTAATATAGAACCCCAGATGTGTGCTGCCGCACACACACATGCGTATATATATATAATATGCATTACAGAACAAGGAGAAAGATAAGGAAGAAATAACCAAAAATGAAGAGCACTAGGAGAGAAACGGAGAAGAAATCGGAGATAGGTTCTGCCATTGAAGAGCTTTCTATGATGACCATAGTCAAACCTGGTGAAGATCATGATCACTCCGCACACATCCCCACCAAGCCTTTCCTCTCACTTTGTTACTTGGTTCTTCAAGTTCTTGGTGGGTTCACTCTTTGTCTCTTTCATATTATGTTCAACATGTGAATGTGAATGATATGTAACACCTAAAACATTGTTGTTGTGCTTCTAGCAGATAAGATAGGGCCAACAATGGTTGTTTTGAGGCAAGACGTGCACCAGAATATTAAGGTAAAAAGAAAAGCCAATCAACTCACCAAACCCCTTCTCTCTTTACAATAACTATGGAATGGGATCTTTCTTTCTTTTCTTGGTTGTTTACACGAGGTTAATTTTATTAACTTTGAAGTACTGATATTCATTTAAAAAATTAACTTCTCCTAATAAATATTTTATTATATATATATAATGACCTATAATTGAATTTCTGATCACAAATTTAAGGGAAAAAATTATTTATTAACCATACCACTAATGTTCACATGACATATATGATCAAATTATTAATTTTTTTTTCTTGTAAATTGAAAAACAAAACATGTCAAATGGAGATTGATAGATAGTATAGATACCTAACTGTTCTGAATTACTTAATTTATCTGGTGTTAAATAGTTGCACATTGTTGATCATGACTCAATTACAAATTATTAGTTAACTTGTATTGTGTATTGAATTCATTTCCGTTGAAGAAATTGGAACTGATGCATGAGTCAAATCCCTCATTGAACTCGAATTTGGTTGAGATTTTGAAGTCAGAAGCAAGAGAAGGCAATGCACGGAAAGGGTCTAGCTGCAGTAAGGCCCTTGTTTGGCTTACTAGGTAAGAAAACACAGACATTAATTTAATTTTATATAATATAATATATATACTTTGCTATTCCTCACGTTAATTAGCAATATATAGAAATTCGGTATGACCAAAATCATCCTTTTTGTGCAACTTTGCAGGACCTTGGATTTCACTTCGTTATTATTACAAACACTAGCAAAAGATCCTGAGAAGAGAATGGAACAAGTAGTTGAAGAGGCTTATGATGTAACATTAAAACCGTGGCATGGATGGATTTCATCAGCTGCTTTCAGAGTAACAATATTAACCACTTATTCTTTTCTTCCATTGTTTAATCTATTCTATTTCTATGCTTTTTGTTGGATTTGTTTAATCACTATACATTAGTGATAGCCACTTTTTCACCACATTCTTGACCTCATGAATATAATTTAGCATATGGTGACCAGATGTGCACTGTGTGAAATTGCAGGTGGCTCTAAGACTGGTCCCAGAAAGTAAAACTTTCGTGAATCTCCTTAAAACTGAAGATGAAAACCATGACACCCTAATGGAGAAAATGCAGATTTTGGTCTCTTTGTTTGTGCCTTTTCTTGAGGATATCCATTGTATTCTAGTAAGCTTCATATTTCTAATTACTTCCTGTAACATAGCATTAATTAATATTGATCATGAAATTTCTTATAATTGTGTGCTAACATTATGAAAATTTGTCCTTGCAGAGATTGTATAACTTGGACAAGCTAAAGTCAACTTGAAGTCAACTAGAGAAGAATCAAGTGCAGCTTTGTGTTTCCTGGATTCCTTGCAGAGATTGTATACTAAAATTTGTGTGACAATTATGTAGTTAGTTACTACTTACTAGTTGGCATCAACGTGAGAAAACGTGTTAATAGTTCTTTTTCTTTTCATATCTAACGTAGCTGAAATTTAACTTCTATTCAGGAAAAAAAAGGACCATAAATATACAAAAATCTCTAAATTAAGCATATGATTATAAATTATGTAATACCATGAATGTGTTAGTTAAGGAAAAAAAAAATCTTTATAACTTATTTCACTAATCTCTAAATTAAGAGTTGTTTGTAGTAAATGCTGGTTTACGTAGCATTTAATCTTATAACCATTTAATTAATTTACTGTTTCTTTTTATCATTTCCCCTTCATTACTTTATTAGAATTTCTCTTTTACCATACTTAGTTCAGAAACTACCAAGATACTCTTTCACTCTCATCTTTAAATCATTCCCTAATTTATAATATAATTTTGTCAAATTATAATATAAATTCATTTATATTCCTATATTTGTTTAATAAATATTATATCAATATAAATGAGTAAATCTTTTTAAAAAAAACTATTAACCTAATTTTAAATGATAAATCATTATACATAAATTAAAAATATGAAGTGACAATTATTTAAAAATACTTATAGTTATCAAAATTTCAAGTTATAATTAAACTTAACTAGGTTGGTTAGTTTAAGTACAAGATAACTAACCATGGTTAATCTAACTTGCACCATAAGCCAACCAAACCCTATATATTATTTTTTCTTGTATCAGCCGAATAGTTTTGAGCATTATTGGAATTGGATGAAATTTACTCTCTAATTCTCTCTCTAAAAACTTGTTTCTCTCTTTGAAATTCTTCTTTTTCTCTTATCCTCTCTTGAGTGTGGTGAGAAATTGAAGAGACTTATCATTCTTCAAGAGTGTGGTGTCACCTAAGGGAGATCTTACCTTCTCTTGTGTTTTAGAAATAGCTTCTAACATCATTGGAAGCCATTAAAGGAGCTTGAAGGAGTCCAAGACGCTTGAAGGAGAAGCTACATCAATCTAGTTTCTCTTAAGTTCTCCATCAACATGAGAGACATTCTTTGTAATCATTAAAACTACAGTAAGTCTTCATCATGAGCTTGGTCAACACTGTGAACCAAAGTGAGATGTTTCTCACTTTCCATTTCTTGTGTTTTTTTTGTGTGTATGTTTGAGAAATTACTTGAATGAGATACCACTACAAGCAAAACGCAAATTTCTGATGAAAAATTTCTAACGGATATGGATCCGTAAAAAAAATTATATTTTTCGAGGAAAATTTTTTACGATTTTATATTTCCGTCGAAAATTTCTGACAGAAATATAAATCCATCAAAAAATTTTGAAGGAAAAATAAATCTGTTGAAAATTTTTGACGGAAAATTTTTTATGGAATATTCTATCGAAAATTTCCAACGGATTTATATTTCTATCAGAAATTTCCGACGGAAATATAAATCCGTCAAAAATTTCTTATTTTTAATTTCTTATTTTTAATCCTTATTTTCATTTTCTAAAATTGGAATTTTTATTTTAAATTCTTATTTTTTATGTAATTATTTTTAACTACTTTTTATTTTTTTTAAAAAAAGATAAATAATTATTTTAGGTGTCACTTACAACAATTACGTACTATTATCGTATTGATATTTAATAGCTCTAAACAAAATTTAGTTTTTTAAAATAAATAATATTTATCTACCTTAAAATAATCAAACTAGTGAATTTATATTTTAGAGGGATGAAAATCAAAGAAAAATATTTTACTCATTTTACAAGTACGAAACAATCTTTATAAATCTTACAAGGATGAAAAATAAAGAAAACAATTTACAAAGACCAAAATCAAAATCACCCATCTTATAAGGATTAAAATATATTTAAACCTTCTAAGATTAATATTTTTGATCTTAACAATTATTTTAAATAAATAATATTTATTTTTAAATATTTATAAATGTGACACCCTCTACCCCATTATTAATATACAACAAATGTAACAATAAAATATTTCTTTTCTTCTTTTTGGGTAAATAAAATTTTTCATAGTTGACAAATATTTCAGATATCACAAGGTAGAAGATTCACATTCGTAACTCATAAATCATAACTCCAGTGAAAAAAATTATAAAAGAAAAGAAGTTAAGATTTTCAATACAATTTAGTGAAAAACAAGAAATCATATATATACAAATAATAATAAAGGAAATATAAATTAACTCCAGTAAAGGTGGCAGTGCCTCCT